CTTCACACTATAAGGATTTTGCTGTCTCTTGCTGTGAATTTGGAATGGGATCTGTGGCAAATGGATGTCAAGAATGCATTCCTGCAAGGAGAGCTAGAAGATGAAGTATATATGCGACCGCCACCAGGGATGGAAGGCATGGTCAAACCTGGTAATGTATTGAGGCTGAGGAAAGCAATCTATGGTCTGAAGCAATCCCGAAGAGTCTGGTATCACAAATTGAGCACAACCCTTAATGGAAGAGGAATTGTGAAATCTGAAGCTGATCACACTTTGTTTACTCTCACCAGCCAGCAAGGGATCATTGTGATTCTTATATATGTGGATGATATTATCATCACAGGCAGTGACAAAGAAGGGATCAGCTCCACAAAGGCATTTCTCAAAGCAACTTTTGACATCAAAGACTTGGGTGAGCTCAAATATTTTTTAGGGATAGAAATGTGCAGATCCAAGGAGGGACTGTTTCTGTCTCAAAGAAAATATACTCTGGATATATTAAAGGAAGCTGGTGATCTTGGTGGAAGAGCTGCTAAGACTCCTCTAGAGGAAGGGTACAAGGTGATGCGTGAGGGGGAGATTGAAGATAAGGCATATGGAGATGTGAAACACTATAGGAAGATTGTGGGAAAACTCATATATCTTACTATCACTCGACCAGATGTATGCTTTGCAGTTAATCAAGTGAGCCAGCATATGCAAGCTCCTAAAGAACACCACTGGAACATGGTTGAAAGAATCCTAAGGTACTTAAGAGAAGCACCAGGAGAAGGAGTTTGGATGGGTTGCAACAAGAGTGCTGAGATTGTTGATTATTGTGATGCTGATTGGGCTGGAGATAGAGTTGATAGGAGATCAACTACTGGATATTGCACATTCATTGGAGGTAATCTGGTAACATGGAAGAGAAAGAAACAAAGGTGGTTTCATGCTCAAGTGCTGAGGCAGAATACCGTGCAATGAGAAAGCTTACAAGTGAGCTGATATGGATGAAGGCACTGCTTAAGGACTTGGAAATTAAGATCACAACGCCTATCACAATGCACTGTGATAACCAGGCTGCCATCCACATAGCCAGCAACTCAGTCTTCCATGAGAGAACCAAACATATTGAANGAGCTGATATGGATGAAGGCACTGCTTAAGGACTTGGAAATTAAGATCACAACGCCTATCACAATGCACTGTGATAACCAGGCTGCCATCCACATAGCCAGCAACTCAGTCTTCCATGAGAGAACCAAACATATTGAAGTAGACTGCCACAAGGTTAGACAAGCTGTAGAACAAAGAGTGATTCTACCATGCTACACAAAAAGTGAAGACCAGTTAGCCGATATCTTCACCAAGGCAGCAAGTATTAAAGTGTGTGAGTCCATACATCCAAGGTTAGGACTCATAGAAATCCCATGTCACTAGACTATCCTCCATGAAGTGATCTACTCTTTTTCCTTGGCTTAGGTTTTATCCCATTGGGTTTTACTTAGCTAAGGTTTTAATGAAGGATTGCTTCATGGCTTCCAAGCTTGACTTGTTCTACATGGTCAAGCTTGAGGGGGAGTGTTGACATGAAGGAATTACTAAGATAAGAAGAGATGACCATTGGTACGAGTGTGACCATGAAGAGCTTGACCATATGGTCAACTACAAATAAGATGACCATTGGTACAAGCGTGACCATGAAGAGCTTGACCATATGGTCAACTACAAATAAAATGACCATTGGTGCAAGCGTGACCATGAAGAGCTTGACCATATGGTCAACCTCAAATACGATGACCATGGTGCAAAGCTTGACCATGATGGAAGGAGACCATATGGGCAAATTCAAAATCTCTTCTTCTGCTCTTCTCCACGTGCATTTGACCGTTGTGTACCAACTTGCATTATTTTTAATTATTTTTATTTCAGGCAACTAGCCTACTTATCTTGATGTAATGCACATTGATTCAATTAAGGAAAATATTTCCTCCTTCTATTCTTCTTAACTCACGAAATTCTCTCTCTCTCTCTCTCTTATTTGTTCTTCATTCTCCAGCAACAATACTTTAATTCTTACATATATATCATTATATTATTTTAATTTGAAAATAATTACCTATTATACTTTTTTCAATTGTCTCTTTTGAATTATATACAATTAAAAATTTTGTTTTATGAATCTTTTTTTTTCTGTTTTTGAATTTTTTATCCAAAATATATTTTCAGGATAACAACACAATATATATACGAATTATCTTTTTATTTTTAAATATTTTACTTTATGAATATTTATTTATGTGTTTTCTGTTTTTGAATTTTTTATCAAAAATTTGTTTTCCGGATAACAACACAATATATATATATATATAAACATTATCTTTCTTTCTTTTTTTTAATATATATTTAGATTATGGATAATTCTTACCATTATTATTAATTTAAAACATTTATCTAGTCAAATAAGTATTAAATTCGTTTTTATTTTTAGCTGATTTATATATGTTATTCAGTAAGGGTATAAACGATATTAACCACTCTAACTTTTAACGTGAGAGCTCCATTATGAAAAATCACTTCGTAAATAATAATATAGATTCCTTTTTGACTTCTCTCTCTTCTTCTTCGTCACTGTTTTTCTTTTTGATCTGGGAAATCTCTTGGGGGAATTGTCAGAAACAACACTTTCAAGATATCATTTTTCAACTTTACACTAATCAACTTTACCATTAAAATTTTAAACTATAAAATACTATTACACCCTTAACTAATTAAACTTAACAATTTTAATAAGGTTTTGATTGATTAGGGTAAAGAATTTAGGATTTAGGGTTAAGAAATTAGGGTTTAGAATTTAGGGTTTAGAGTTTAGAGTTTAGAATTTAGGGTTTAGAGTTTAGGATTTTGAATTTAGGGTTTAGGGTTTAGAATTTAGGGTTTAAAATATAGGGTTTAAAATATAGGGTTTAGGGTTTATAATTTTAGGGTTAGGGGTTAAAATTTTTGGTTTAGGGTTTACTTTTTAGGGTTTAGGGTTTAAAATTGATATTTTAAGGTTTAGGGTTGATTTTTAGGGTTTAGGGTTTATTTTTTCGGGTTTAGGGTTTAGAATTGATGTTTTAGGGGGGTTTAGTATTGATTGTTTAGGGTTCGTATTTCGAGAAAATATAGGGTTTAGAGTTTAAAGTTTAGGGATTAGAGTTTAGGGTTTAAGGTTTGAATTTTGAAATAGTATAATTCGAAAAAAATATATTTTTTGTTTTTTGTGTTTTTTATTTATTCAATATTTAATTTATATATATATATAGTATAATATATATAGAATAATATATATAGAATAATGGTATAAGAGTCTTTAAGTGTATTTTTGAAAATGTTCATTTGTTAGTGGTAAACATGAAAAGTTGTACCAACTAAGTGGTATAAGTGAAATTTTCCCAATCTCTTGATCAATGTTCGTTTTCTGTGGTGTGGGAAGGGAAACATCTTGTAGATGGAACCGTGGTTGCTATAAAGGAGATCGCCATGTCGGAGATTTTCATCGTGAGGAAGATCAATCACCTCAACATCATCTGCTTCATCGACATGATCGAGGTTCGTCTTCCTTTGCTCTTGTTGACATGATCGAGGATGTTGTTAGCTCGTATAAAGCTCCCATCTTTGACCTTGGTTTGTTTCTTAAATCATCTGTGCGGATGATTCATTAAAGAGGTTATTCGAAAATACATGAAAAAGGTTAAACCTTTATACGATAAGTTATCTTAGAAACAGAGTACCACGGTCCAGGGCTAGTCCTGAGTTTGACGAGACCCCAAACAAAAACAAAACAAAAATTGTAAAATTTTATTTATTTTGATAATATTATAATTGTTTTTAAAAAAACTATTGAAATATATTATTAGCATATAGATATTTATCAAATTAATTAATTTATCTGTTTTATTACATAAAATCTTTTATTATAATGTATAATATTTTATTTTAAATAAAATATACAAAATTTATTATTAGTTTTCTAAATTATGGGCCCTACAAATTTGGGGGCCCCATACCAATGGTTCATGGGTATTCCCTCATGCCCGGGCCTGCCACCGTCACAGCTTTAAAAACAGAGTCCAGCAAGAAACGTGGACGGTGCGCGGCGAGCTGTCCCTCGTCGATGAGATCATCTCCAATGGACGAGTTGCAAAGTGCTATTCAAGGAGCTATTTCTCATTGCAAGAACTCAATGTTTGGTTAGTAGTCTTGAGATCTAGCAATATATCTTTGTATCAGTCTTTCTAATCATTTTTTAAATTTGATCTACTCTTTTGTCTTAGAATTACCATTGTGAAGGTACGAGCTGGGAAGGCAGCCAGCCAACACCAAGTTGTCCAGCGGCAAGACCGTGAGAAGAGTGCTATTGTCCAGGTCGATGCTGCTCCTTTCAAGCAGTGGTACTTGCAGCATGGTTTTCTGTTTTGTGACATCTGAAGAACATCCTTCAAGGGATGAGAGTGTGATTTTTGAGCGTTTGGATAATTGATTTATTTCTCAGGAAGAATTGAAGGAATGGGATCAGTGTCTTTTTAAGGGGGAAAGCATATGGAGCTTTACAAAACCGTTCTCAAGCTCGGCAATGGTTAGTTCAGGCTTTTTCACGTCTTTCTTGTTTCTGTCATTTACATTTTGATGGTTTCAAGAGAGTGATCTTGTTAATTTAATGATGTAAATAAGATTCATTGAAGTGGTAGCTAGAAATATTGGGAACTTGTTGTGTGTATCTTGGCTGATCCATTATGTGAGTGGTGTGCGTGTATCTTGAACTTCATCCCCATTTAGCTCATGAATTTCGGTTGTGATTGCAGGTATAAAGCTGCTATAAAGGCTGATCCTTTGTGCTATGAGGTACTTCTAGCGCTTTATTCAATTGATGTATATGTATTTATCATGAAAAGTTTCGGAGCTAATGTGGGAGGATGAATTCTCTCTCTCGTTACTGTACAAAGTAGTACTTTCTCTATAAACTAAAAGATAATGTTACATGATGTGGTCTCTGTAACGTACCATTTCAGGCTTTGGAATCCCTTATTGAAAGTCATATGCTCACATCTGAAGAAAGTGGGTTATGCTTCTTCAAGTTTTATTTGTTCTTTATTTCAGTGTCTTGTTTGTGTCATGTAAAGACTAATTAATTCTGATTTTTTCAGGTTATATGCTTCACTGGAGATGAGGGATTCGTATGTGTGGGTCAAGATCGCTTTGATTCAGATACCTGGTTGTATGGGCTTCAAATTAAAAAAAACAAAAACTTCAAGAACCCCTATGAAGTTCTTCCATTGGAGGAGGAAAAAAATAATTACACTAACATAGGTTCTTAACTTCTCAAATCACCTAATTAACTACTAATTTAATCATAAGAACCCATTAGAGGTTCCTACTAATGGACTTGCTCTTAGTTCTTTGTTGCCTTTAAATTAAGTGTCATGGACTGAGTTATAACTCAGAAAATGTCATACAGCCCAAAAACTCTAATATATTTAGTTGCAAAAACTTTTGTGATGCAACAGCCGAACAAGTGAAACACAATCCAAGACGTTTCATTTGTTTTCAGACGTAAGATATATATAACTGCTTGAAGAAAATAAATACACATACAGTTGAACCATGAACCGATATTATAGAACGTGTCTGCTTATTTTATAGTGATTGTAATATATAATTTTGCATGTTGAAACTTATTAGTTGCATCTGAAATTGGGTGGTGACGTCACACCTGGGCACAGCTTGAGGAACTGGTTAGCTTGCGCAGTGGCGATGCTTGTATTTGCTACGCCGGGAACTCTGGTTCTAGCGAGTTCGCAGGAACATAAAGCCGCAACAGGACCACCAAGCCCAATTAAGAGACTGCAACATTGAGCCTGATTTTGTGGGTTGAGGATATTAGCCGGATCTTGTAGGTTGATGACATTAGTAAATACGTTGACGCAAACCTTGAGATCGACCAAGTCAACAGGACACTGAGGTTGGTTTGCAGGAGGAGGTGGAGTTTGGGCTGTGATAAAGCCCAAGAAAACGAGGTTGAAGGTGAGGTAGAGAGCCATGATTGTTGTCATGTTCTTTAAAGCCATATATATAGTCAAAATGGTAAATAAGATCTTGATGATTGTAGTTGGAGAGATAGAAGAGTGTTATTTATTTGTATTTGGAGGTGATGGTTGTATTTATAGTGCTTAGAAGATTTGACTGTGGAAGAAAACGTTGCCATTGACTTGTAGTTGGATGAGTAGATAAGACTTGAAAATTGCAATTTGACACATTACCCCCAAGTAATCAACATTGGTATTTTAATAATTTCTATAAAAATGTTATACATATCGAATCACATACTCTTCTCCAATTGTTACAAAGCGGGTAGTTTTATTAATTTATCGTCTTCTGATTTCAGCAACCGAAATTGCTGCTTCAGCCGTTTACGTATCTGTTTTACACCTGCAAGAATAACATAAGCATGATCATTACATAATGTTTTTTTTTGACTAAAGTCATTATATAATGTTTTGCATATTACGAAGATTTCACTCCCAATTTCAAATTCACGAATATAAATTTGTGATAAATCAGTATATTGAGACTTATTTGTGACAGTTAATTTTAGAATGGTTAAAATACGGCAGTCACAAGCTTTTTTGGTACAAAAAATGTCGCAGTGTTTTGTTACAATTTATAGAGTAGCTTTTCGGTCACAGACAGTAACTATATACAAAAGTGATAAATCTGTTACAACTACCAACTAAAATTATGTCATCAAATTGTCATATTATGTGACTGGTAGTGTCTTAACTCTGTCATCTATTGCAACAGAATCTTGGTCTCAGATTATAACAAAAGAAGACTGAAAAAGCACAAATATGTTTTCATTTACGACTAATTCATAGTTGCAAATTTAATGTTTTATCACTAAAAAATTATCAATCGATTTGAATTAGTTACTAAGTGTTTCTCTGCACCATGTGCAGTTACAAGTTTTTTAGCTTAAATTATATTTAATAATAAATTTTATTAGTATTATAGGTTTTATTACTTTCTTACCAAAATTTAAATATAGATTTGATTTAGTTAAACATTAAATTAATATTAAATACTTTTTTACTTAAAATTATATTTAAGAATATATATGTATATAGTTAAAATTATAATCTTACAGATTTTCTATCTATTTATATTGCTTAAATATATTGAGTTAATGTGTATATATTTAATAAAAGTGATATAGAATTGTATAATTATCAAAAATTAAAACTAAAATATATTTACAAAATTTGTAGATATATAAGATTAATGATTTTACGATTAGAAATTTATATTTTTGAAACAATTGTAGCAATTTTTCAAAACTTTAGTAATACGAATTGTATAATATAAAAAATAAAAATAGAATAATATTTCAAAATTTGTAATGTAATATTTGAATATATGTATTTTAATGATGATGTATGAGTTATTACCATATTTTAATTTTTTTTACCATAAATAAATATCAACATTAAATGTAAAGTATGCATTATTACTATATTTAAAAAATTTACAAAATATATAAATAACATTGCCATAAGCCATGTCATCAGTTTTAGTAACCATGTCACTTTTTTTTGTGAATCTGATTGTAAAGAAGACATATGGCAAAATCACTTCGCAAATAATATATCCCCAATATATTAATTGAGAAACATTTGAACCTTAAGTTTGTATTAATTAAAAAATAATCTTATCCTACGTGACACCTCTCTATGTTTTCTATTTCAATTTAGAAGAATTCTAGAGCACCTTATATAAAGTATAGCTTTAAAACGAAGTTCGTTGGTCTCATATAAGACATATCAAACTAAATAACATATCAAACAAAATCTTCTATATATTATTTACTTAAATAAAACCTACGCAATTACCTAATGTGATTAAGATATATATGACTATTAATGATTTTAAATAATAAATATTTGTTAGTAATCTGTATAATTTATATCATTTTTATTTAATTTTTTATTATTAAAATAAATTACACAACTACACTAGTCATATAATAAAAATTAGATTTTTATATATGTTGTATTTTAAAATTTTGAAAACGAGTATAAATTACTAAAACTATTAAAAATCTCCCACATAAGCTTTTGTGATCAAGATCTATATTTGTTTCTATAATAAATTACACTGATTATAAAATCATATGAATAAATAATTTTATTTTAATAGGTGTTTATATTAATATATATATATATATATATCATATCATATGAATAAATAATTTTATTTTAAACATAATTATAATTTAAAATTTAACTTAATGTTTTTTATAAAATTATTTTTTATTTAAAAATATAATTTTTAAAAATATAATTTTCTGATATTATTAGACAAATAAATCAATTATATTAAATTAGTTTTGAAACTTAATATATTATAAATGCAAATATTCTACCAACTGATTCTTAAGAAAACATTAGAGAACTTGATAATGCTCTACCAATTAAGTCCCGTGACATTATGTTTATTTTTCATCGCTCGAGCACTGAAAAGTGAAAAAATATATAAACCGGATCCATTAAATTCTAAGTTTTGATCTACAAATCTAATTACAATTGTTTCTGATCTTACGTATATATAGTTATATAAAAATTCCAAAATTCTAAATACATATAAAACAATCATATGTAAATTTTAAATTTATCAATACTAAAGTTTTATATTTTAATTATATACACTCACCTTGCCCAACGCGCAGGTCTTATCCTAGTAAGTGATTACTTTGTCATTTCAAACTTGTCACAATTCTACAATAAACTATTATCCTAAAATTTTATTAAAATTATTGTTACAATGTATATGTTGTTAGAGCATGATTATCGGAAACTATCTTCCCATAGATTGTTAACTAATTTAATATTAATAATGTTTTGAAATTTAGTTAAAAGTTAAATCTTAAATTTTAGAAAGTAATATAAACCACTTACAAATTAACATGTGTAAAAAAATATTTACTTCTTAATGAGATTACCGAAAATCATGAAAAAGAGGATGGATCTTTGAGGAACACAAACTCTTTTGTCCCTTTTAACATTATGATAAGAAATAGTGGTCTGCTAGAATTTCAAGCTCAGGGAAATAAGATGTTTTGGCGAAGGAAGACGTGGAAATGGAAAATGGGCAGTTATGGTCAGGTGTCATTTGGATCGAGCCCTAGCGAATGAAGATGGCACACACTTTTCCATGTTTTTACACGGAGTATCTGGGGATGATTTGATGTGACCATCATCCATTAGTGACTTATATGGAAGATAAGGTCTATCGGAGGAAAATAAATTTAAGTTTGATAAGAGATGGTTTGGACATGAAGGTCTTATGGAATCCATGGCAATAGGATGTACAAGCTCTACTGAGGGTCAAACAAAAGTTTTTGCTACAAAATTTAGGAATTGCCAACATGAGATTTCAAAATGGAGGAATAATAATCCACAATATGGGAAGGACAAAATACAAGATCTTCAACGAGCACTCGATGAGGTACAAACATATGATAACCAGTCCCAGGAAGAGATATTAGAGGTATCCAGAAAATTACAAGATGCATACAAGGATGAAGAAGATTACTGGTACCAGAAAAGCTGTAATATGTGGTATTCATTTGGCGACCTAAATACCAAATTTTACCACGCTTTAACGAAACAAAGGAAGGTACGCAATATAATTGTGGGACTTTATAGTGAAGAGGCGAATTGGATATCAATGGAAAAAGATGTGGAAAAGGTGGCTGTGGACTACTTTGAGGATTTATTCACTACCACTTCCCCTTTAGAGTTTGAATGTTTTCTGGATGTGATTACCTCGTCCATAAACTCTCAGATGAGTCAGAGATTGATAAGGTCAGCGATGGAGGAGAAGGTAAGACATACGCTGTTTATGATGCATCCAAGAAAGGCTATAGTACCGGATGGAATGACAGCCATGTTCTTTCAACACTCCTGACATATTATTAAGAAAGATTTGGTGGAGATAGTGAATAATTTTTTGCTACCAGGGAATCCTTATTCAAGGTTAAATATTACTCATATTTGTATATCCAAAAAAAGAGAGGCCAGCAAGAATGATGGAACTTCGACCAATAAGCCTATGTAATGTTGGGTACAAGATTATTTCAAAGGTTTCATGTCAAAGATTGAAGATTTACCTTCCAAAACTCATCTCAGAAACACAATTGACATTTTTGCCGGGAAGGCTAATATCGGATAATATTCTCATAGCTCAGAAAATGTTTCATGGATGGAGAACTAACAAATCTTATCAAAAGAAATTTATGGCAATCAAAACGGACAAGAGTAAAGCGTATGATAGAGTAGACTGAGATTTCATTCAGGCTCTTTTATCCAAATGGGTTTTGATGACCATTGGATTAAGCTCATGATGCAGTGTATTTCGTCAGTGCAGTATCGGATTTTAATAAATGGCCAACCACAATGACTCATAAATCCACAAAGAGGGTTACAGAAAGGAGATAATTTATCTCCCTATTTATTCATTATGTGCACTGAGGCTTTGATTGCAAACATAAAAAAAAACTGAAAGGGAAAAACTATTGACATGAATGAAGGTAGCCAGAGCATGTCCATCAATCTCTCATCTACTATTTGCAGATGAAAGTCTATTCTTTTGTAAGGCGCAACAGGAAGAGTGCCAAACCATCCTTAGGATACTGCATGAATATGAGGCTGTCTCGCGTCAGCTGATACATTTTCAGAAGTTCTCAATTCAATTTGGACGCAAAATTAAGGAATCGAGTCGCCAGAAATTACGTGATACTTTGAGAATACAAAACTTAGGGGGGGGGGATGGGATCCTACTTGGGATTACCAGAGAGTCTTAGAGGATCTAAGACACAAGTGTTTGGCTTTGTACATGAACACTTGAATAATAGAGTGAATGGCTCGACCTTTAGGTTTTTCACTAAAGGAGGAAAAGAAGTGATCGTTAAATCAGTGGTCACAGCTTTACCGAACCATGTGATGTCCTCTTACCGGTTAACTAAGGCAACAACAAATAAACTAACAAGTGCAGTGTCACAATTTTGGCCGAGTCCAGGGGGAAGTACAATAGGAATGCACTGACAGTCATGGGACAAACTCTGTCTCAACAAAGATGAAGGAGGTTTGGGTTTTAAAGATCTAAATGATTTTAACACGGCTATGCTGGGCCAGCAGCTATGGCGTCTCATAGAGAAACCACATACCTTATTTTCATGAGTTTTTAAAGGACAGTACTACATGAA